CATTACTGGGGAGTTTTCAAAAAGCCCAGTGCCCAGGCCACATTCCACACCAATCAAACCCGCATCTCTGGTCATTTGTTTTGGGCTCTCTCCCAAAGCTGAGAACCACTGACCTATCCTTCGAGGCCCCACTCCACACCTACTGAATCAGAATGTCCAGATGCCAGGGTCAAAACATGTATTTGAAAAAATCTCACTGGGTGATTATGATATATAAAGTCCCAGCTGTAAGAGTCATTGTCAAAGCAATAAGCCAGGGAAGTATTTTAAAGAAGGTGATAACAGGGTCAGATTTTATTGTTTATTGAAGTATAGTTGATTTACAGTATTGTTAGTTTCAGGTGTACAGCAAAGTGATTTAGTTATACGGGTGTATATATATTTTTTCACATTATTTTCCATTATACGTTATTACAAGATATTGAACATAGTTCCTTGTGTTATATAGTAAATCCATGTTGCTTATCTATTTTATGTATAGTAGTTTGTAGCTGTTAATCCCCTTCTCCTAATTTATTCGCCCTTTCCCCTTTGGTAACCATAAATTTGTTTTCTATCTCTGAGAATATTTCTGTTTTGTATATAGATTCATTTGTATCAATTTTTAGACCCCACATATAAGTGATATCATATAATATTTGTCTTCCTCTTACTTCACTTAGTATGGTATTCTCTAGGTCCATCCACCTTGATGCAAACGGCAATATTTCATTCTTTTTTTATGTCTGAGTAATATACACCACATCTCCTCAAACCAATTGTCTGTTGACAGGTACTTGGGTTGTTTCCATGTCTTGGCTATTGTAAATAGTGCTGCTATGTACATTGGGGTGGATTTATCTTTCTGAATTAGAGTTTTCCTCTTTTCTGGATATATGCCCAGGAGTGGGATTGCTGGATCATATGGTAGCTCTATTTTTAGTTTTTTAAGGAATCTCCATACTGTTTTCCATAGTGGCTGTACCAATTTACATTCCCACCAACAGTGTAGAAGGCTTCTCTTTCCTCCACACCCTCTCCAGCATTTATTATTTGTAGACTTTATGATGATAGCCATTCTGACTGGTGTGAGGTGATAGCTCATTGTGGTTTTGTCATTTCTCTAATAATTAGTGATGTTGAGCATCTTTTCATGTGCTTCTTGGCCACATCTATGTCTTCATTGGAGAAATGTCTATTTAGATCTTCTGACCATTTTTTTTTTTTTTTTTTTGGTTGCTGTACACGGGCCTCTCACTGTTGTGGCCTCTCCCGCTGCGGAGCACAGGCTCTGGACGCGCAGGCTCAGCGGCCATGGCTCACGGGTGCAGCCGCTCCACGGCATGTGGGATCCTCCTGGACCGGGGCACGAACCTGCATCCCCTGCATCGGCAGGCGGACCCTCAACCACTGCGCCACCAGGGAAGCCCTCTGACCATTTTTTAATTGGATTTTTTTTAATATTGAGTTGTATGAACTGTTTGTATATTTTGGACATTAACCCCTGTTTGGCTGCATTGTTTGCAAATGTTTTCTCCCAGTCCGTAGGTTGTCTTTTCATTTTGCTGATGGTTTGTTTTGCAGTGCAAAGGGTTTTAAGTTTAATTAGGTCCCATTTGTTTACTTTTGCTTTTATTTCTTTTGCCTTGGAATACAGATCTAAGAAAATATTGCTATGATTTATGTCCAAGAATGCTTTGCCCAGGTTCTCCTGTAGAAGTTTTATGGTATCGTGTCTTATATTTAGGTCTTTAAACCATTTTGAGTTTATTTTTGTATATGGTGTGAGGGAGTGTTCTAATTTCATTGACACATGAAGTTGTCCAGCTTTCCCAACACCACCTGCTGAAGAGACTGTCTTTTCTCCATTGTATATTCTTGCCTCTTTTGTCGAAGATTAATTGCCTATAGGTGTGTGGTTTTATTTCTGGGCTCTCTATTCTGTTCCATTGACCTGTTTTTGTGCCAATACCATGCTGTTTTCATTATGATAGCTTTGTAGTATTGTCTGAAGTCTAGAAGGGTTATGCCTCCAGCTTTGTTCTTTTTCCTCAGGATTGCTTTGGCAGTTCTGTGGTTCCATATTAATTTTAGGATTATTCGTTCCAGTTCTGTTAAAAATGTCATGGGTAATTTGATAGGGATGACATTAAATCTGTAGATTTCTTTGGATAGTATGGCCATTTTAACAATATTAATTCTTCTAGTCCAAGAGCATGGGCTATCTTTCCATTTCTTTGAATCATCTTCAATTTCCTTTATCAATGTTTTACAGTTTTCATCATATAGGTCTTTCACCACTTTGGTTAAGTTTATTCCTAGTTTTTTTTTTGATGAAATTTTAAACGGGATTTTTTTTTTACTTTTTCTTTCTGATATTTCATTGTTAGTGTAAAGGACTGCAACAGATTTCTGTATATTAATCTTATATCCTGTTACCTTGCTGAATTCATTTATTAGTTCCAATAGTTTTTGTGTGGAGTCTTTAGGGTTCCCTATATAGGGTATCATGTCATCTGCAATTTTATCTCTTCCCTTCCAATTTGGATATCTTTTATTTCTTTTTCTTGTCCGACTGCACTGGCTAGGACTTCCAATACAATGTTGAACAGAAGTGATAAGAGTGGGCATCATCTGTCTTGTTCCTGAATTTGGTGGGAAGGCTTTCAGCTTTTCACTGTTGAGTTTTATGTTGGCTATGCGTTTGTGGTAAATGGCTTTTATTATGTTGAGATATGTTTCCTCTATACCCACTTTGGTGAGAGTTTTTATCATGAATGGATGCTGAATTTTATCAAATGCTTTTTCTGCGTCTATTGAGATGATCCTATGATTTTTGTCTTCTCTTTTGTTAATGTGGTGTATCACACTGATTGATTTGCATATGTTGAACCATCCTTGGGAACAGAGTCAGATTTGCATCATAGATTTCTTACACAGCAGTGGGAAGATGAATTAGAAAGAAATCATAGGAAGGCTATGAACAGTTCAGCTGAAAGATAAGGGCCTGCACTATTAACAGTGAAAAGACAACCCCACAGACTGGGAGAAAATATTTGCAAATCACATATCTGATAAGGGATTAATATACAGAATATACACAGAGCTCCTCGAACTCAACAATACAGCACAAAAATGGGCAAATGACAAGAATAGACATTTCTCTAAAGAAGATATACAAATAAGCCAATAAGCAGCACATGGAAAGAAGTTCAACATCACTAATCATTTAGGGAACTGCAAATCAAAACCATAATGAGAGATCACCTCACAACTATTAGGATGGCTACTATAAAAAAAAAAAAGGAAATAGCAAGTGTTGGTAAGGATATGGAGAAATTAGAACCTTTGTGCACAGTTGGTGGGAATGTAAAATGGTGCAGCTACAGTGGAAAATAGTTTGTTGGTTCCTAAAAAATTTAAAACTAGAATTACCACAGGATCCAAAAATTGAATTTCTGGTAATATACCCAAAAGAACTGAAAGAAGGGTCTTGAAGAGATATCTGCACACCCAATTTCATAAAGGCATTATTCAAAATAGACAAAAATAGAAGTAACCCAAGTGTCTATGGACAGATGAATGGATAAGCAAAATATGGTATATACAATCAGCCCTCCATATTCATGATTTCTGTGTCCACACTCATCCAATGTCAAATCCAAATTATTTGGGAAAAAACTTCCAGAAATTTCCAAAGAGCAAAACTTGAATTTGCCTTATGCCACCAACTATTAACATACCATTTACAATTATTTATGTAGTATTTACATAGGTATTATAAAGTAATCTATAGATGATTTAAAGTATACAGGACAATGTCTATAAGTTATATGCAAATACTATGCTATTTTATATAAGGGACTTGAGCACCATGGATTTTGGTACCTGTGGGGCATCCTGGAACCAATCCTCTGAAGATACTGAGAAACAAGCCTATATACAATGGCATATTATTTGGCCTCAAAAGAAAGGAAATTCTGACACATGCTACAACATGGATGAACTCTGAGGACATTATCCTATGTAAAATAAGCTGATCACAGAAGGACAAATTCTGCATGATTCCACTCATGATGTTCTAGTGTGGTCAAACTCATAGACACAAAGTAGTATTGTGTTTGCTAGGAACTGGGGAAAAAGGGGAAAGGAGAGTTATTTTCTAATGGGTATAGAGTTTCAGTTTTGCAAGATGAAAACAATTCTGGAAATGGATGGTGGTGATGGCTGTATAATAATATGAAAGTACTTGATACCACTGAGCACTTAAAAATGGTTAAGATGGGGAATTTTGTCATGTGTATTTTACCACAATTAGAAGGAAGAGAGAGAGAGAGAGAGAAGAGAAGAGGGATAAGAGCCTGAACTAAGGTAGTTATGATGGATTTGGAGAAAAATCTAGAATGATGCCTACGTTCAGGACTGGGCAGATGACAGTGCCACCAACTGAGATGGGAAACACAGAAGGAAGAAGAGGGTTCAGTGGAAATAAGTTTAGCTTTTACACATGAAATCTGAAGTGCCTGAAGAAGTTATATTGAGGATACCGGACAGATGGTAATTCAACTTATCTACCATGGGGATCCAGGGTGTGTGAAAGAGGAAAGGGAAGGGAAGCTCGGAGGAGGGGGAGAGAAGACGTAAAAAAGGAGGAGATAATGAAGAAGAAAAATTGAAGAGTAAAAATATTTGAAATCTCTATGAAGTAAAGAGAATATAATTTCTGGAGCCAGATAGCTGGGTTCTCATCCTAACTTGGCCATTTACTCACTATAGGACTTTGGCAAGTTTCTTAGCCTCTCTGTGACTCATTTTCCTCATTTGTAAAATGGAGATAACACCTCAAGGAGTGTTCAAAAAGACTGAGTAATCTAATTTATGTAAAGAATATAAAAGAGTGTCTGAAACACAGTAAGTGCTTCATCAGGTCTTAGCTGTTATTTTCACTACACTGAGGAAAAGTAAAAATGAAATAAAGAAAAATATTATTTTAGAGACCTGGATACAAAGGAAAGAGTTACCTGTTTTTGTGTTGGACCTTGTTTTGAAAAATAACCAAAGGAGAAGAGCCATGGGAACTAAAGGAAAAAAAATAAACCTTTAGTGATATTTTCAAAACTTCATGGAAAATACTTCTAAGGTCTAATTTCATAGAAATATTACTTACTTTTATGAGGAGTTGCCTTCCAATGCCAAACTTCACAAAGAATAAAAAGAAAAGTCCAGCAAACATCAGCTTAATAACAGAGGTGACACCTCCCACAGTTACATAAGCAGCATACTGAACCTAGATGAAGAATATAAAGTCAGGATGTTACTCCCTACTTTCTTAGACCAAGTAATACAAGAATGTTAGCTACTAATAACTTACTCTATAGTCATAAATATCAAACAAAAGCAGTTTCCATTTTATGAATGTGTTATGTTCCAAAAGCTTGTCCAGAAATCAGACACTGGGAAGACTTTTTTTTTTTTTGCGGTACGCGGGCCTCTCACTGTTGTGGCCTCTCTCGTTGCGGAGCACAGGCTCTGGACGCGCAGGCTTAGCAGCCATGGCTCACGGGCCCAGCCGCTCCGCGGCATGTGGGATCTTCCCGGACCGGGGCACGAATCCATGTCCCCTGCATCGGCAGGCGGACTCGCAACCACTGTGCCACCAGGGAAGCCCCCAGGGAGGACATTTTTTAAAAGAAATTATTAAAATGGGCAGAAGGCCTAAATAGACATTTTCCAAAGAAGATATACAGATTGCCAACAAACACATGAAAGGATGCTCAACATCACTAATCATTAGAGAAATGCAAATCAAAACTACAATGAGGTATCACCTCACACCGGTCAGAATGGCCATCACCAAAAAATCTACAAACATGGGCTTCCCTGGTGGCGCAGTGGTTGAGAGTCCGCCTGCCGATGCAGGGGACACGGGTTCGTGCCCCGGTCCGGGAAGCTCCCACATGCCACAGAGCAGCTAGGCCCGTGAGCCATGGCCGCTAAGCCTGCACGTCTGGAGTCTGGAGCATGTGCTCCGCAACGGGAGAGGCCACAACAGTGAGAGGCCCGCGTACTGCAAAAAAACAAAACAAAAACACTACAAACAATATATGCTGGAGAGGGTGTGGAGAAAAGGGAACCCTCTTGCACTGTTGGTGGGAATGCAAATTGATACAGCTACTATGGAGAATAGTATGGAGGTCCCTTAAAAAAATAAACATAGAACTACCATATGACCCAACAATCCCACTACTGGGCATATACCCTGAGAAAACCATAATTCAAAAGTAGTCATGTACCACAATGTTCACTGCAGCTCTATTTACAATAGCCAGGACATGGAATCAACCTAAATGCCCATCAACAGATGAATGGATAAAGAAGATGTGGCACATATATACAATGGAATATTACTCAGCCATAAAAAGAAACGAAATTGAGTTATTTGTAGAGAGGTGGATGGACCTAGAGTCTGTCATACAGAATGAAGTAAGTCAGAAAGAGAAAAACAAACACTGTATGCTAACACATATATATGGAATCCAAAAAAAAAGGGTTCTGAAGAACCTAGGGGCAGGACAGGAATAAAGACGCAGACGTAGAGAATGGACATGAGGACACGAGGAGGGGGAAGGGTAAACTGGGACAAAGTGAGAGAGTGGCATGGAGCTATACACACTACCAAACGTAAAACAGACAGCTAGTAGGAAGAAGCCGCGTAGCACAGGGAGATCAGCTCGGTGCTTTGTGTCCACCTAGAAGGGTGGGATAGGGAGGGTGGGAGGGAAAAGCAAGAGGGAGGAGATATGGGGATATATGTATATGTATAGCTGATTCACTTTGTTATACAGTAGAAGCTAACACACCATTGTAAAGCAATTATACTCCAATAAAGATGTTAAAAAAAAAATTGTTGCAAAAGGTAATTAGCTCCCCCTACTTGAACACAAAAGTCCACATAATCTATATATAAAAAGTCCATAACAATATACCTGAGTTTAACAATTATACATTATAAAGTGTAGACTCCACTTACAATCTCTTCTATAAGAAAATACTCTCGTTTTTTGTTTTTTTTTTAAACTTGACACAGTTTCCTCTTCAAGTCTCAGCAGTGGGAATAATTACTTCCCTCACCAAATGGAGTAGGATAGTTCTCTAGAGGTAGCAAGGAGATAAGAGAGAAGAACCTAGACACCTCCATAAGCAACAGAAAGAGTATTCTAGCAGCTGAAACTCGCAACAGGACTGTTGGGTATTTATGATACCAGGATTTCCTATATTGAACTTGCTGCTATTGTGTTACATTAAAAAGGTATTCAGAAGGTCAGAGTTGAATTATGGGAGAAGGTTATTACCACCCCCATAAAATGCAAAATGTTCTACACTACTAATTCTTTATGCTTCCAGAAACTGAAACATGCACTATTTTAGCTCTTTCATTTTTTGCCTTATAAACATAAAAATCCTACATTAAAATGATAGGGGAACTGAAACAAACATAGAATACTCTTTATTAAAAAATAAATCATATACGCTTACAGGTGATTGCTGTAAATTTTCGTGCAAGTAACGCTGAGTCCGCTTCACAACAGACACATCTGCTCCCAAGAAAGGAATGGAATAACTGTTGAGTTCTCTGCAGTAAGAAATTGGCCACCTGCAAGACAGAAGCATGTTGTATCTTCTCCATTTACAGTGACCACAACTATAACTGGTAAATTTCTGAATAAAAACCTTAACTCTTCTTGAGGCAATTAATAATAACAGTAAAGATGGCAGATCTGCTCTTAATTAAAATTTACTTCAGTATTTGTCCTTTGTTCTCTACACCTGCACCCAAACAAGTGACAAGTTGGAACAATGTAGTATTCTTCACACCATGGGCAGTTAACACATATAGTTTAACCATGTTTTATACCCCATCAATTTCCCTAGATAATGATAAGAAGAACACTCATTTCAACAGCCAAACTCTGAGTTTAGAGTTCTCACATATAAATACTAATTAATAGGTTGATTAATATACATAAGATCATCACATTTTTACAGCATGAAATTTAATTGATGTTTAATTTTGATATTGATAGTGAAGAGTCATAAAACTGATTTTTTCCAGAATTTTCCCAGAATCCAAATGTATTATTATATATGAAGTACTTAAACTTAGGGTAACATATTAATTATATTTTATTTATCTTTGAAAACAATCCTGAACTCACTATAAAAGTCTCCAGGCTTTTCTTAGTAGCATATGTTATTAACAGTCAGATAAACAACAATATGGTTAGATAAACTAAAGAATAGATTTTGAGATAATATACCTTCTTTTCAATTTTGGACCAACAATTGGGACAGGCTTCAAATTGGACTCATTTCGTAGTTTTTTCAAATTACTCTGATCTCCAAAACCATAAACCGCTGACTTCCAGGTACCATCATGAGTGCACAACCCCTAACAAAATAATTCAAGAGTTAAAGCAACTTGTCTTAGAACTGACACAATATTGTAAATTAACTATACTCCAATAAAATTAAAATATTAAAAGAAACATGTCTTAAGGGATAAGTACTAAAATGTAAAACCAAGTAATTTATAATTGATACAAAGAACATTTCACCTCTATTTGAGCAAGGTATAATCCCTTATTTAATAATCTTGAGATAAATTTTTACGACTGGCTAGGCAGTAGTAAAACTCATTAGTTTGATCACATTCACTATTTATACCCTATTTATATATTATATATTTACAAACATATGCCCTTTCTTCTTTCCTCCTACCATTATTTAAGCTCTTTTTAATAAGTTTCATGTCATCATTTTCACTCAACTATTTATCACTGATTGCTTTAAGCAGAAAAATAGAAACACTAAAACCATCAGAAGATTCAGGTTTTCATATAACAGCTTTGATGAAACTGAAAGGTAAAGAGACACCAACCTAATTTCTATTCTGGTACAGATTAATTTCTTCTGTTTGTTAAAACTAAATCAGAGCTAAAAGTCTTAAGAGTTTGATTTGTGAAACTATCCTCAGTCTGCACCTAGCCAATTTGACCTACTTGCAAAGATTTCCAAAAATCAGGAGAAAATAGTTTTTTTAAAAACGTTAAGAGTATCTTCTCATACAAATAAGCCATCAAAAGGCAAAAATTACATTCCATTTTAAAAACCTTTTATTTTGTTGAAAAATAGGAAGAAAAGTGCACAAGACATAAAAGTATAATTTAATGTAATTATGAAGCTAACATCTATGTAAACCCAGAAGGCCCTCCTTCTGTCCTGCCTTTGTGGTAATCAAGAAAACTCCTTGCTTCTTTAAGAGTTTTACCACCTAAGTATTCATTTCTAAACAGTGCAGTGAGTTTTGCCCGTTTCTAAATTTTACAGAAATGGAACCATATCATGTATATTCCTTGAGTTTGGCTTCTTTTGCTCAAAATTGTGATGTTAGGATTCATCATGTGTTAGAAGGACCTCCTACTCTGCTGTTGACCTTCCATTTTCTTAATGGTGTCTTGTGATATAAAAGGACATACTCAATTTAAAATTTTAAATGTATTCCACTTTTCTTTTTATATTTAATGCCTTCCGTGTCTTTTGCAAGCAGTCATTTGTTCCCTGTACAACATGGTGACTATAGTTTATATTATATAGAAAATTAGAAATTTGCCAGGAAAGTATACAGAAAATCCTAAAAGTTCTTAGGACTTCCCTGGTAGTGCAGTGGTTAAGAATCTGCCTGCCAATGCAGGGGACACGATTCAATCCCTGGTCTGGGAAGATTCCACATGCCGTGGAGCAACTAAGCCCGTACACCAAAACTACTGAGCCTGTGCTCTAGAGCCCGTGAGCCACAACTACTGAGCCTGTGTGCCACACTATTGAAGCCCATGCGCCTAGAGCCCATGCTCCTCAACAAAAGAAGCCACCGCAATGAGAAGCCCACGCACTGCAACGAAGAGTAGCCCCTGCTCGACACAACTAGAGAAAGCCCGCATGCAGCAACAAAGACCCAACACAGCCAAAGATAAATAAATAAATAAAATTTTAAAAATTGTTTATATGCTTAAAAAATAAACATATAAAGAGCTGTTGATAATCAGATTCCAAATAAAGAAAAGTTACTTCAAAAAAAATAAATACAAGTTCTCATCACAAGAAAAAAAACTTAAGTATGGTGATGGATGCTAACTAGTGGTGATCATTTGTAATATAAACAAATATTGAATTATTATGTTGTACACCTGAATAGTACAATGTTATATGTCAATTATACCTCAATAAAAATAAATTAACAAAATAAAATATATTTCTGGAAAAAAAGAAACCATTCCTGACCTTGAGGTCATGAAATATTCATCTTCTAAAAGCTTACTGTTTAGCCTTATGCATTTAGGTCTATAACCCACCTAAACTTGATTTTTGTACACAGTGCAAAGTATGAGTCCAATTTCATTGTTTCCCCACACCCATCATCTCCCGAAAAAGACCCTTTACCATAAATCAAGTGCTCATATATGCACAAACTACTCTGAGTTCTTTATCCTAATCTGCTGGCCTATTGATATCTCCCTGCCAATGTAACACTCTGACTTAATAATGTCTTGATATTCAAGAACATCCTTCTACCTTATTCTCCTTTAAGAAAGTGTTGGTTATTCTTGGCCCTCTGCATTTCCATATACATTTTAGAATTAGTTTTTCAAATTGCATACTAAAACAAAACAAGCAAGCAAAAAAAAAAACCTGTTTGCGATTTTGATTGGAATTATATGGGATTATAAATTAATTTAAGGAAAACTGACATTTTAACAAAATTGAGCCTTCCACTCCATGAATATGGTGGGTTCTTCCATTTATTTGTCTTCTTTAAGGTCACTCAATAACATTTTATAGTTTTCTTCACAGAAATCTTGTACATTTTATATCCCTTACTCTTAAGTACTTGATTTTTTAATGCTACTATAAATGGTCTCATTTTAAAAAATTCATTTTCTAACTGTGGCTGGTATACAGAAATGCAACTGATTTTTATATTACTGTTGTATCCAGCAACAATAAAGACTAGAGTGGAAATAAATGAAACAGAGAATAGAAAAACAATAGAGAAAATCAATGAAACCAAAAGGTGGTTCTTTGAAGAAATCAACCAAAATGAAAAACCTTTAGCTAGATTGACAGAGAGAGAAAGAAAAAGAAAGAGAGAGAGAGAGAACTCAAATTACTAAAATCAGGAATGAAAGAAGGGGCATTACCAACCTTTCAGAAATAAAAAAGAGTATAAGGGAATACTATGAACAACTGTATGCCAACAAATTAAACAACCTAGATGAAATGGACAAATTCCTAGAAAGACACTGTTACGGATTAAATTTTGTACCCACCCCAAATTTATATGTAGAAGGCCTAACCCCCGGTACCTCAGAATGTAACCTTATTTGTAAGGAGGGTTGTTGTAGATGTCACTAGTTAAGCTGAGGTCATACATATTGGAGGAAGTGGGCCCCCAACCCCAAACCACTGGTGTCCTTATAAAAAGGAGAAATTTGGACACACACACATATGAAGATGGAAGAGCGGTCTGAGTGATGCATCTACAACAAAGGAACACCAAAGATTGCAAGCAAACCACCAGAAGCTAGGAGAGAAACATGGAACAGAGTCTCCCTCACAGCCCTCAGAAGAAACCCTGCCAACATCTTAATCATGGACTTCTAGCCTCCAGAACTGTGAGAACAATGTTTCCCTTGTTTAAGCAACCCAGTTTGTGGTACTTTATTACAGGAGTCCTAAGAAACTAATGCAGACACAAACTACCAAAACGGACTTAAGAGTATACAGAAAATCCTAACAACCTATAAGAAGTGAAGACATTGAATTCTTATTATCTCTTCACTGATTTCTAGTATAATTTCATTATAGTCTAAAACATACTCTAGAACGGGGGTTGGCAAACTATTTCTGTAAAAGGTCAAACTAAATATTTTAGGCTGTGCAGGCCACATCTGGTCTCTGCTGCGTATTTTTTTTTTTTATTATAGCTCTTTAAATATGTTAAAATTATTCTTAGCTTACAGCCATATAAAAGTAGGCCATGGGCTGACCCCGCTCCGGAGCTGCACTATCTGGTATGGAAGCCATTATATAGCATATATGGAACACCTTCATCACTGAGGGAAGATTTACTGGACAGCACTGTCCTTGAGTATATGATTCCAACTCTCTGAAATTCTTTTGAGTCTTGCTTTATGGTCTAATACATAGTCTAAGATTCAATTTTTTATGTAAAGTAACAAAGCTTAAGGGGAAAAGTAGGATAAGGAGTAGGAGGAGAACAATCCTGTGCCAAGGGATGCATAGAATCAAGGCAGTTACCTCTGTCAATCCTTGTGAAATTAAGGCTCTGTATTTTGCTTTAAGGGGAATGAGAAGGAGCTGCATTGATTTCGATGTTTTCAAATGTCTCGTCCTGATTAAGCCCCAACTTTGAGTCCTTATAATAATAGGACTTAGTAACATTTATTGAGTGATTGTAAAGTGCCAACCACTGTTCTGATTTATATTCACTGACTAATTTAATCCTCATAGCAACCATATGAAGGGGACACAACTCTCATCTCCTGTTATAGATCATCTCCTGCTCCTCTTTCAAAAGAAGCCTCTTTTCTAGCTCTGTTTTCTCACTATCTCCCTGTAGTGGACATCTGTTTTTTGTCAGTCCTGCACTAATTTCCTGCAGGGAATTCTTAATTCCCCTACCCTATGTTCTGCTTACAACACTCTCTTTCCTATTGGAAGTTTGTTACGTGTTGTTGAGAAGGGCTTGGCCCTATGATTCCCTCTCCAGAGGCCCATGACCCAGGGCTGGGCAACCTTATTACTCCATTACCCCAGGTCACACTGTTTGGCTCAAGAATGACCAAATGACCCAATACTTGACTAATCTTCCCCATCTTTGAATATTCAAACTCTGCGAGCTGTTCTTGGGAAATCATGAACCTTATGGACAATGCATACCTGGGGCTGCCAGTACCTTCCCCTCCACCCCCCGATTGTGAGAGCCTACACTGAGGAGCACAGAAGTAATGCAGAGACAGGAAGAGGAAGAGAAAAAAATGAGTTCCGATAATACCATTTGAACATCCAGATCCAGCCATACTGTTTACTTGCAGATGTTTGGTTACATGAATCAATAAATTCCTTTCTGTTTTGTTGGTTTAAACCAGGTTGAGTTGGCTTTCTAACTCATGTTCCCCAGAGCTCCAAGCATGTCCTTCTTTCTCATTTCTGAGCCTTTGTTTAGGTTGCTGCCTCTCACCTTCCAAATGCTATTCACTTTTCAAGGTTCAACTTAATAAGACTTCTATGAGGCATTCCCAAATTACTCAGGCCCACTGTCACTTCCCTTTATTCTGATACTCTAGTGGATATTATCTGTAACCACAAATTTTAGCAAGTTTTATATAGTTCTTCATGTTTATTCATCTGAACCTACAATCCAGACAAATAAAACCATTACTTAAACATGCTCCACTCCATCCCACAGTTACATCTTTATTAAACTATTTCCTCTCTCCCTTATCCATATCTCCTCAGCACCAACCTTTAAAATTCCATATCCCAACTTCTCCAAAAAGTCCTTGATCTCTGGCCTCCCGGCTAGATGTAACTCCCCATTCTCAGAATCCTATAGTATTTCATCTGACCTCTTTAATAACAATTTTCGTCTCCTGCTCGTCCTGCTTATTCCCTTTAAGGGTCTGCATGTTGTTCATTTATGTGTCACACTATCTTGCACTACTATATATACTTGTATTACACAATATGTGAAATACTGAATATTTTTTAAAGAGAATAAATACTTATGAAGCCTCAAGTATAGACAGAGAATTGTGTTAGACACTACTGGCAGTAAAACTACTACCACAAAACATGGTTCTTTCCCAGAAATGCAACTATCTTATGCTCCCAAATAGATCATAAATTCAGTAAGATTACATTTACATTATACATTTCTTGTATGGCCACAAGAACACCTAACTCCAAATTAGGCACATAATAAAAATGCACTGATTTGCACTAAGGTGATAATTTTCTAGGCTGACAACATTCATCACATAACAATGATAGATCTTTAGTGTTAGGATGATGGTAACTCATTCTAATAATGAACTGTGCAGTTTTAAACAAATTCTATTTTAAGTCAAAATAACTCACAGCAATCTTTACTTTTTAAAATTAAACAGTGACTTTCATACACTAAAAATTACAACTGTATATACAATTTAATTAATTAAAACCTTTTTAACAGGCAAGTATCATTTCCAAAATGTTTTTAATATTAACAAAGAAAACACGTGACAAACAAAAACTAACCTCAGGTCCTGAATGTATAGTCAGGAAACTTTCCACAGCCGTCAATGTACCTAAAAGAGAAGGAAAATGGTAAAAGTAAAATAAAAATCTATTAACTCAGGATAAGTAATAATAAGCTATTCCTATTCATTTAGGGAACATTTTTATTAGGCCTACAGCTGATATAATCAGGAAAATCTGTGCTATAACAGTATTATTAGGTTACTGTAAACAGATTTAAGGAGCAGCTAAAGCCAGATAAATTATCAGAAAAATAGTAGTTTAGTATAAATTAACTGCTGGTACTCACAAAATCTTTTCTAGTATTCAAACTGACATTGCAAAAAATCTCTTCCAATAAGGCAACAATTCAGCTCACTGATTCTGGAAGGCCATCAGTTCTCAAAACTACATCTATGGGCTTCCCTGGTGGCGCAGTGGTTGAGAGTCCGCCTGCCGATGCAGGGGACACAGGTTCGTGCCCCAGTCTGGAAAGATCCCACATGTCGCGCAGCGGCTGGGCCCGTGAGCGATGGCTGCTGAGCCTGCGCATCCGGAGCCTGTGCTCCGCAACGGGAGAGGCCGCCAGTGAGAGGCCCGCGTACAGCAAAAAAAAAAAAAAAAACAAAAAACTACATCTATGGGAATTATTCTGTTTTCCAATATGAAAGCTTTCAAGAAGACTCATTAGTAGTGACTTAAAATGAATATACAGAAACCCTACCAAAATGGGCCTTTGTGATGACTTATTAAATACTAAGTATTTAAGTAAGGCTATTTAAATGAAAAAAATATATAATGAGTAAAAACAAAGTAGAAAACCAAGGCCAGAAAAAAAGGGGAGAAATCAATTATATTAACCATGAGGACTAATACATACGTATAGTGGTTAAGTATTTAATTAATCTTTGAGCTTATCGAGAGCAGTAAGACAAAAGAAAAACATAACGGGCTAGCTAATTCTCAAAATCTGATAAAATATACCAATTTGTTAAGAGACAGTATTCCTAGTTTTAATTCCAAGAGAAAATTAAAGCATGGGGCCTTAGAAAGTTGACAATGAGCAAGGTAACAAATAACCACACCATCTACAATGATGTTACAGCAGAAAAGAACTAAAGCCACATAAATATTACTTATCTAACACTGTCAAAAACCAAGAATAGATCATTAAATTCTAACTCACTGGAGAGGATTCTAAGAGTTGTTAAGAGAAAGTGGCCTGGATACATGGCTCTTTGATCTAACCCTGTGCACAGAAAGAACATGTATCGCCTAAGGCAGTATGTAATGAAATGTGAGCCACCTGAATCAACAATTAGCTGGGGTATTTGTTAAATGCTGACTCCTAGGTTTCAGTGTCTGAAAAAAGGTTCTAAAATAAATCTTAAAGTAATATTTCTCCCTTAAAAATAAAAAAGGACCTATTCAAAATAACAACTATTAAATATTTAAGAATAACCTCAATAAGAAACATGTAGGACCACCATAAAAATACTCTAAACTTTTTCAGTAAATGGAGATTTTTTTTAGTAAGTTTTTTAATAAATGGAAATATACCAGATCCATGGGTTGAAGACTAAATAAATATTTTAAAGATGTTCAATTCATGCCCTTCTCTTTACTGGGAATGGTTCCAGCGTTTCATCATTAAGTATGATGTTGCCTACTGCTTTCTGACATTCACTGTGTTTACAAAGTATTCTATTCCTCAATTTCTAAAATCTAAAATCAATAAATGGCAGGCATGCGTATTACCTTTGTTGAGCTTTGGTCTCAGAGTTACCGTTCTAATATAAACTGGAACACTTTCCGTAATTTTAAGCTCTAGAATGGTTTATATAGAACTAGACTTATTTGCTTCAGGTCATTTTTATAAAGGGCATTTTTTATGTATGTATAACATTCCACTGTTTTACTATAATAGTGATTTTTTTCCATTCTTATTGTCTCCATTTTTTTTTTTTTTTCTTGCGGTACGCGGGCCTCTCACTGTTGTGGCCTCTCCCGTTGCGGAGCACAGGCTCCGGATGCGCAGGCTCAGTGGCCATGGCTCACGGGCCCAGCCGCTCCGCGGCATGTGGGATCTTCCCGGACCGGGGCACGAACGCGTGTCCCCTGCATCGGCAGGCGGACTCCCAGCCACTGCGCCACCAGGGAAGCCCTGTCTCCATTTTATAAATGAGCTAAAAAAGATGTCAAAAAGCTTGTTCAATACTTTCTAGCTTTGTTCGTTAAAAAAATTAAAACTTTCCAATTATAGTATGTGTATAAATTATACTTTAAGATGTATTAATTCCTAAACAAAGCAAGTTTGAATTTATAATGCCTGCCAAAAATTTTTTCCAGAAATTTTATAGCTATAACCACAACTAAATTCTAATGGAGAATTCCTTCCTTTAGAACACTTATAGTATTATCCATACCTCAAAAAACAATACTGTCAATATCATTTTCTAACAAGTACAGCTATATTAAAAACAAAGTATGTGTTTTAATACTACCCATTAATAGTTGTTTCTTTTCTCAAGAAGATTTTAGTTCACCACAATTACAAACATGAAACACCTCTATTTTAAATTCCATTATTGCTTCTTGATCAATAATTACCATTCATTTTATTTCTGGTATATATTACTCCCAGATCTGCTGGAATGGAGTCAAAGCCACTGCTTCCAATGATATAAGCCCCTTTTTCTGCAGCTTTCTCATGATACTTCCAATACATTAGTTCCAGAAACTAAAGATTCAAGACAAAAGATCTGAATCAGAGCTACGGAGAAACATCTAGAACAAAATTAAATGATTTACCTTTAAAAACAAAGCAATTAAACTGTGAAAATGCTAACCAAGATGGCTCTGCAGCAAAATATTAACTGCCAAATAGCTGGCACTTACTCAGCAAACATACCTACTATGTTCCAGGTGGTGTGAGAGGTATGCAGATCTGACTTAATTCATTTTTTAGAATGACTTTTAAATGCAAAAGCAATACCTATTATGAAAAATTAATATAGAAAAATACAAAGAAAACAAAAAAAAGTTACCCCGAATCACATCTTCCAGATGAACATCATTACAGACATATCTGTGCACATATGTAAGTAGAAAGAGTGGTAGGAAAGGAGGGAACGCAAGAACGGGATAATGTCTGTTCAAATTCTTTGCCTGTTTTTTTTAAAAAACAGTTCTAGATTTACAGAAAAAAATTGAGTACTAGAGAGTTCCTAGGTACTCCACACTCAGTTAACCTTATCATTACATCTTTTACATTAACATTTATTATAATTAATGAACCAATACTGATACATTATTACTAACTAAAGTCCCTATTTTGTTCAGGTTTCCTCAGTTTTTATCTAATGTCCTTCTTCTGTCCAGGATCCCATTCAGGATACCATACTACATTTAGTTGTCATGTCTCCTTAGGCTCCGCTGGCTGTGATGGTTTCTCAGACTTTCCTGGGTTTTGATGACCTTTACAGCAGTGGTCAGGTACTTTGTAGAATGCCCCTCTATTGGAAATTGTCGCATGATTTTCTCATGACTACACTAGAGTTACAGGTTTTGGGGAGGAAGATGGGGTTAAGTGCCATTTCCTGATGTCATATCAAGAGTACATACTATCTCACAGACACAGAAAATAAACTTATGGTTACCAAAGTGGGAGGGAGGGAGAGATGGATAAATTAGGAGTATGGGATTAAAAGATACACGCCACTACGTATAAAATAGATAAACAACAAGGATTTACTGTACAGCACAGGGAACTATATTCAGTATCTTGTAATACCCTATAATGGAAAAAGATCTGAAAATATATATACATATAGCTGAAACACTTTGCTGTACATCTGAAACTAACACAATATTGTAAATCATTTAAAAAAAGAAGAGTACATACTATCAACATAATTTCTCACTGGTGATGTTGACCCTGAACACCTGGCTGAGGCGGCGTTTGTCTGGTGTCTCCACTGTAAAGTTCTTCTCCTCCCCCCCACCCCCACCGCTTCCATACTGTACTCACTGGAAGGCAGTGACTGTGCAGCCCACACATAAAGAGGGAGGAGTGAAGCTCCCCCTCCTCAAGGGCACAGTAGTTATGTGAATTATGTGGAATTCTGCACAGGTGATTTGCCTCTTTTCTTCCCTTTGCCCATTTTAAATTTGTATTTAAATTTGTATTTTTGACTTATATATATTCTGGCTCATTACTAGGTTTTGATGCCACGTTCATAGTACTTTATAAGATAACTTAGCAGCTTTCCACCATTTTCTCTGCTCTAGAATATTTTAAATAAGATAGGAATAGTTTCTTTTACATTCATATTTCCTACCTCTTCTTTTATCAGTCTTGGTAATTTACACTTTCTTAACACTTTCCAATATACATCGCCAACTGATAAGCTCTAAGTATGTATATACCAGCACACTGATGATGGTACTCAGCAGAGACTATAGGGACATATGAGGTTACAGTTATAAAGGAGCTAGTGTAGCTCAGTGCTTATTAACACTCCACTTCCTGCAGTGTTAATTCAGGCAAACCCCAATGCAAGTCCTAGTTTTCCTACTTAATGGTTGCATGACTCTGAGCAAGTTTTATTTTAATTAATTCTGTTTACAGCATGCAGTAGCAATAAAAATCAACACATCCTATACACAAAGGCCATGGAAGAAATTAGGATGTAGGGAAGAAAAATTCAAGAAAACTGAAGCTAAGACCTTACCATCATGCTCTCCTTCAAGCTTTCAATGAAATACCATCTCTAAATGCTACAGAGTCATCACCTTCTAAAATCTGTCTGCAAAATTACACTAAATATTTTTCACTTTAACAGAAAGTTGTATTGTTAATTTTGTTCCTTCTTTTCCATTTTACATACCTGAGGTTCTCCACAGATGTCAATACAGCTAGTTCCATTTTCAACACATGCTTTTACTACAGGTTCTCCATAAAATCGGTACTGGGAGAATAAAGAAAACCAACAGTTTACTCTTACTTAGCAAGCTTAAATGAAGGAATACCACTGAGTGTTGGAAGTACAGTCTTCACTATTAAGAAATCAAATATTAATTAAGTAGCCTAATGAGAAAATGAGAAAATAATGTAACTGCAATTTACTGACTCTCACAGTGTAAATAAAAGCATGATGGAATTACCCCTAACTGAAGACAAAGTCCAAAGTTTTATAAAAGAAGTGACTCATTTGAGTTGAATTCTGAAGAACAGTAAGGATTTGCCAGGAAAAAGAAAATCCAAATAATGGAAAAATTATATGTAAAAGTGTAAAAAAGGGTGATGCTCAGGATACCTGAAGCACAGAGTAGTTGAGAGGGAAGTGGTAAGAGATGAGTCTGGAAAGAAACACTTGGGCCAGATCAGGAACGACCCTGAGTGCCATGTTATCAAGACTGAACTTTATCTTTTCTGCATTGCTGAGCCCTCCTAGAGTATTTTAAACAGGACAGTGGTGGAACGTTTATAACACAGACATATCACTCTGCCTGTGGTATTGGAAAACAAAACTCACGGCAGGTAAGAAATGAAGGACAAAACTAAGGAAGCGGAAGGATATACTAAGAGTGAGATATACTTAAAAGACAGAAATGACTGCACTTCCTGATTAGCTGGACATGGGGACCAACAACTAATGGCAGTATTAGCAAAATAAAGAAAGGACAAAGAGGGTTGGAGGGGATAAGTTTAATATTGTACAAAGTAGCTATTCTGAGCCTGTATGATTTTGGATCTCCCAAACTATTTGTTGCTCAAACTCAAGGAATTAAAATTAAAAAAATTTTATATAACAGTTAATACATCAGAGTCAGTCCCATTTCAAAGGAAGCATGACGAATTTTCCCTTTGTGAGGGAAGGGTAAGTGGAAGCATAAACTCCTCTGCTCCTCTCATTCCTCACAGCAAAAGATGGAGAAAGGAGATGGTCTGCTTCTTCTAGCCTTCAAGAAACAGGTAAACGGACACTTAAAAGAAAAGACAGAGCACTACAGGGATTGCCCTTTTCAAGTGGGTCACTTAGGCTCCTCTCTACCTGACTCCACAGCCTCATCTCCACATCCTCCTCCCCCTTCTTAAAAACAGCAAATGACACTGGAATTACAGGACTAGAAAAGTGTGTTTAAGTTCTAGTTCATCCCTGCTATTCATCAACCATGCAAAATTACTGAAAGCACTTAACTTCTGAGGCAACGTAGTACAACAGAACAAACAAGGGCTTTCAAGGCAGCAGGACCCAAGTTCACATTCTAAATCCATCATCTACTAAATTGTATGAATTTATTTACAAATGACATATATGGACTACTATACTAATAAAATATATACTTTAAACATATATAAAATGGACATAGAGTTGAAATTAAAATGAGTACAAGTCAAAGCTCTATTTTCTTTCTGTACCCAATGGATCATCTTGGGTAATTTTCACACATATCCATTTGAAACTCACTTAGCAATTTCCTTGGCCTCCTGGTTATTTTACCCCCGAATACCTCAAGTTGTCCCGTAGTTCACCTGGGTCAGAATCAGCTGGGTCGCTCGTTAAACATGCTGGTTACTCAGTCCCACCCCAACTCCCTCCAGTAATAAGTTTTCTGGGGTAGACTGCAGTAACCTGCATTTTAAATGAGCCTCACTGGTGACTCTTACGTACGTTAGAGGTGGAGAATCACCTCCCTAGACATTCTCCCTGGAAAATCTCACCGACTTTCTGGATTTCTACTACAACATGTATACTGATGACGTCCAACTCCTATCTCCAGAGCTGCTCACTGATGAGGCTGCCTCATCTGTGGCTTCTGTTATAAACTTCAGGACCCACAAGAGCTCAGGACATGGGGCAAAATGAATTTCACTTTGGCTTCTTTTCCTCTCCTCTATTTCCTCTTCACCCTGACTTCCTCACTTGCTTAAGAAAATAATTCCACTATATAGTACGCATTTCCTGTCTTAATTCAAAAATATCTAGCAGACACCTCAGTTTCAACACATCCAAAATCAGATTCATCATCTTTCTCTCAACAGCAGTTTTTCCCCCTCCACTTCCTAGCACAGGAGACAATAAAGAATAATGCTTAAAAGTATTGATTCAGTCATTTTCTGTATATTTTGACATAATACTTGTTTACATATGCCTGACTAGTTTTACAGCTATCATTTAGCTCTCATTAAAGAGACCCTCACAAAATAGAGAAATGGGTAAAAAAAATACCTTCAAAGAAACAAATTATGACACCAAAACTGGTAAACTGGAGTCTACCCCTGGGAGTATAATCCATATTACAAAGTGAAAACGACCTTCCAAGTAGAGCTTAGGAAGGAGCATGTTTTGGGGTCAAAAAGCTAGAGATGCCTATAAACCATCCAACTGGAAACACTGAGAAGGTAATTCGATCCACCAGTCTGGAGTTTAAGGGGTAGTTCCTCAGTGGAAATAAATTAATGTAGGCATCATCAGGAAACAGATGGTATTGAAAGCCATGGCTTTCAATTCTTTCTGACTACAACCCACCCTAAGAAATTCATTTCACATAGTAGCTCCACACACAAATATATCTGACACAAAAGCTTCATGAACCAGTACGTACCTGTATTACGTGTAATTCACCCTATTTTCTATTTCAGTCTATCTGATTTTTCTTTTCAATGCCTAGTCTTAACCTACTGAACTGATTTCACAAAGTTTAAAAAATACTGGCCCAGTTACAGTTTCTGTTTGGGATGGTGAAAACGTTCTGGAAATAAAGAGGTGACAGTTATATAAGATTGTGAATGTACTTAATGTCATTGAAGTGTATACTTAAAAATGGTTAAAATGCTCAATTTTATGTTATGTATATTTTACCACAATAATACTAATATTAAAAAATGGTCCAGGGAATATAAACAGAAAAGAGTTTCTAAGGCTTAAGCTCTGAGACCTCTGGCATTCACAGGAGGATAAAAAGATCCAGCAGAGGAGACTGAGACAAAGCTGGTAGAGAAAAAGAAAACTAGGAGAGGGCAAGAATTCAGATACCAACTGAAGAAAGGAAAAAGTGATCGACTGTCACAAATGCTGAGAGGTCTGATTAAGATGAGGACGGAGAACTGATGATTGGATTTGACAGGACGGGGATGCTGGCAGAGTAGTTTCATTTAAGGAGTACGGATAAAAGCCTGACAAGACTAGATAGAGGAGGAGGTGAGGGAGTGGAGACAGTAAGTAAGGCAAACTCTTTCAAGTTTTGCTAAAAAGGGGCACAGAAAAATGGGAGTAGTTAGAAGAGCATGCAGAATTCAGTGAAGTTTTTCTTTAAATGGGAGATATAATCCCATACTTGTATGTTGAGATAAATAATCCAATCAAGAGGCAAAATTTGATGAGAATAAGAATATGTGTAACTGTAAACCTGTAAATATAAAGTCTTTGAATACCGTGTCCATGAGAAGCAGGGGTAGTTTTTCCCTGTAAAAGGAGATAAGGCAGAGTCAGGAAACAATGCAGATAGGAAGATCTGGTGGTATAAATTCTCTTCTGACAGCCTGTATGTTCATAGTTTAAAAAAAAAAAAAAAAAGGAAAGAAAGAAAGGAAGGGAGGGAGGGAGAAAGGAAAGAAGGAAGGAAGGAAGAAAATCACGAGGTAAGAGTGAGGAAAAAGGAAGAAAGGGGTGGGATGCTAAAAGTATGAGAAAAAAGAAGTTATAAAACTGCTGCTTCAGTGAGTAGGAGAGAAAACAGCCTAGGAAAATAGATTAGAATTGCTGGAGGTACTGAGGCTGCATGTGAGGTTTGTAACCACATATTTAAAGTGGGACTAGTCAGCATCGGGATGCATTTTTCTCCAGCCAGACTGGGTTATACATGTTCAGGTAGAGTAAGCAGCGAGCTGGAATAACCAGGGCTGGGGTTTCTCCAGAGTACTTCGGAGGGAGGGACAAGCTGGCTGAGGATGTATATAAGACAGTGATTCAAGCAACGAACCACAGACCACATTCTAAACTAGTTAATGAAATAAATTGAAATAAACAATAGAAATACATTTCATTTGGTGACAATCAAAAACCTTTCTGGTTTCATTTGATGAAATTATCAACAATCTTCTAGATTCTTAGTTTTCAAATGTTTTAACAATTGAGAAAGCTTCCTCAGGTCCATAAATGTCACCAACATTCACCCTGTTACACAGACCACAAGTGTCTCTTTCACATCCAGTCCAATACCAGCAGCTAGAGGTTCTCCTTTCAAAATATCCGCTTTCAACCACTTCTCACCACCTCTAACACTCCTACCCTGTGATTGGCTTGCTTGGCCCATTCCACTGTTGGTTCCCTACCATCTATTTTTCCTCTCAGAAGCCAAAGAACTTCAAATACGTAAATCAAATCATGCCCTTGTTTTTAACCATTCAATGGCTCTTTCATATTTAGAAGGAAACCCAAACCCTGATCTTGACCTTGCAGACCTAACCACCTAGTTCCTAGGTACCTCTCCAATCTAACTCCCCACCTCTCTGCCCTGCTCACGCTCAACCACGCTGGCCTCTCTCACATCCCTCAGTCAGGCCAAGCACATGCTCATCTCAGGACCTTTGGATTTGCTCTTTCCTGGAACACCCTCTCCTCAAATACTCACAGGATTTACTCCCTCACTGCATTCAGGTCCCTATGCAAATTTCAGTTCCTCACAGAGACCTTCCCTGACCATCCATCTAATAGAGACTGTTGTGCCAATCTTTTTATCTCCCTTCCCTGTTTTATTTTTCTTCAAAGCACCTGTCACTTACTATTATAACATTATTTTTCTGTCTCCCCACTGGACTGTAAGCTCCATGAGGGGTTTTCTGTTTTATTCACCATTATGTCCGTAGACTAGTTCAGTGTACATATAATAAACACTCAATAAACATTTATTGAATAAATGAATGAATCTTTTTTTAATATCTTTCTTTGTACATGCACTAACATATGTACTGGTACAGTAATACAGAATGTAATTTAAAAACAAATAAAAAGTAAATTATGGGTACATGCTCAACCTTTTTTAGTTAAGGGACATGCAGCACAAAAAAAAGTTTGGCAATTATAGTTGTAACCACTAAATAAACCAGCACACATTCCTGGAGTCTAGTGTCACTCTCTCTCTCAGGAGACTTTGGACATATCCATTTGCTTCTCATGAGAAGTAAAAACTCCCCATATGGGGTTAAGGCCCTGAATCAATTCTTCTGTCCCCTGCCCTTATGTTTCTCTGGAATATAAAATACCAGATTCTGCTAGAAATGAATAGATTGTTTGTTCTGATTCAGAGAAGGGCAGATTACTTACTGGTCCTACACAGTTGAGGACAACTGTTGCCTGTTTAGCCATTTCATCAAGTGAGGCTGGATTAGTGATATCACAAATTATTATTCCAACTTCAGATGACAGTGTCGGCCTTCCTAAAATAAGAAATAAATTGTTTTAAGCAAATCCCGATACAGTATTAGATCACCCAGCCCTTCTTTTCATAATAACCACTGACGGCAAATTTACTAAATATACTAAAAGCTGATTCTCCCTCTCAAACAAAAGATAAAACTGTTTTTAACCAGGTAATTAAAAATACGGAAAAGACTATGAGGAAAATGAAGTTAAAACTAAGAGTTAATAAAACACATTACTAACCTTTAAAAGAAAATCTAAGATAAGGAATGTGTAAATGACAACTCTATGCAAAACGCCAATTTTACAAGTTTTCAGATAGAAGACGATTTTCCTGACCTCCTCTCCAGGAAGAATTATACTATTATACTATAAAAGCAGTTTCTCATCAACGATTAAACAACTACATATGATAAAATTATGAGGGGAGTTAACATCAACATAATGAAACAAAAGAGGACTGAAGTAAAAAACTGTCTAGCGAAGAACACTCAAGTTCATAATAAGGAAATAACTGGAATAAACTGAATCAATAGAGTAACGCAGGTTTCATGGCTCAAGGTGTATTTCCTGCAATAACCTGATCTGGGCACTACAAATGTTAGGCAACTAGGCTATACCTGTACAGTCTCGTTGAACAGAAAAGAAGAAAGGGAAGCATATATTTTAGTCGTGGAAGTATTTCTCTTGGAAAAGTAAAGAAAGACCAAAAAGCTTTTTGGTCAAGATTCTGTACTTGGGAGTGGCAGCAGGAGAGCTGTAGGAGAGTCCAGCCTACATGGTATCTTCTGTACCAACCACAAACAAAACAGGTTCCATAAACAGGGATCTGTGTGGAATTATGTGAGATGAAGGTGAAGGTGAAGAACAAAGTATGCCCGAAACTCTAATAGGTGCTACCTGTCTGTATGACAGGGCAGTAGGGTGGAAAACTGACAGCCAAAGTTAAAGGCGACTGACTCCTAACTTAGATGTTCTCACCACGGGGAACATGGGTAGGGTCTCTGCGTGTGTGTGTGTGTGTGTGTGTGTGTCTCTCTCCACCACATCTGTATCTCCAGCATTTACACTAGCACCTGATATTAAAAAGACCACTCAATAAAAACAGGCTGAATGAATGCCGAAAGAGTAAGTAAACTGCCGAAACAAAAACACCAAGAAAACTTTCTGGATGAAGAGTGCGACTGCTGGAGAATGCTTACAAGTAAAAATTAAATTAAAAAGTAAAGCCACAGCAACGTTCTCCGTAAAACTCCTAAGCTTCCTCTCCCATCTCCAAAACACAAGGCCAAGGGAGAACACAAGGCAAAGGGAGAGCACAAACCATCCTGAAGAAACCAGTGCTCTACTTTTGTACCCGATCAAACATCAAGAGACTTCCAGGCCCACCAGGTTACCCCCCGCTCTAGAAGGGGACGGAGCAGAGAAAGGAAAAACTAAAGTTCCTATTTCGCCAGTGAGGATTCCCTAACTATGGGAGAAATTCAAGGGGGGGGGGGCATGTCTCTCTCTCTCTCTCTCTTTTGTTTATGGAACGGAACGAAGCTCTGACGTTATCAGGAGCCCCGTGCTCCTCCTCCTGGCCGCTAACAGGGTTGGGGAGCTCGAGGGGCACCCAGGGAGAGAACCTCTCATTTCAGGCGACTGAAACCCCTCAGCCGGGAGAAGGGGGCTTGGGGATGAGAGCCGCGGCGGTGGGGCCGAGACCGGGGTCCCGGGGCCCCGTCCCAGTCGCCCCCTTTACCCAGTTTCATGGCAGCCCTCTCCAGGACTCGCTGCAGCTTCTCCCGAGAACGGCCCGCCACAGCCCAGGGCAGGCGGGAGCTCCGCTCCGGGGACATCTGCTCCCGCGCCACCTCCTCGGTCACGAACTGGCCGGTAAAGCCAGAGGCGCCGAACACCACCAGGTGGAAAGGCCTCTGCTGGGTCGCCATTACGAGCCCACGGCGATGCAAGGACCAGGATGGGCAGAGTCCACGGCGCCTGCGCCTCAAGCAGCGACCCCAGGACCCGGCGCAGCAACCGCCTCCTCCACGGCCGCTGCGGTCTCCGCTGCCTGCGTGCCGCGTTCCCGAAGGCCCGCGCGCACCGCTGCGCCAAGGCCCCGCCCACACCGCCTTTTGCCGGCGGCGCCAGAACGCCTCCTCCTTCTCCTCTGGGGTGGGTCCTGCGTTGCTGCTGCTGGCTGCCCTGGCTCGCGAGGCCTGTGTGCTTGCGGGGCTGGCGGCAGCAGGCGGCGGCCCATCCTCCGCCCCGTTGTGGGTCCTGCATAGCTCTGACTGCCCCAGGCGTCGTATCTTTTCGCTCTCCCGAAGGTTGTAGGGAGCTACGCAAAGAGAGAGCTCACGAAAACCTTCTGACGGCTGAAAGCACTTCCCGCGCCGAACCCCTCCTTTTTTTTTTTATTTTCGAAGCACGTTGTCCAAGGGGGTGTCTGCGGAGCCAGGTGTAGGGTGGACACTGAGTCTGGGGTCCGCCTTCTGTCATAGGCCCCGCCTCCACCGCCTCGGTGTCCGTCACCTCCGGGACCCCCTTGGTGATGCGGCACACAGTTAATGGTGAACCTCCGCCGGAAAGAAACTCCCAGAATTGTCGTGCCTATTGAGCTGTGAGGTAAAGGTGAATGGTGGTTCAGGACGTCCTCGAAATGCAGAAGAAATCAAAAGTTTCTTGAGCAGTCGTTATTTATATAGTCAAAAACGTTTTAATATAAATAAACGAATAAGTGAATACATAAATAAATGGGGGAGAAGAGACACATCTCCCAGTACAGAGGCATTCCAAATAATTTGTCATTATGACCTTCTCCAGGAGAAGAGTTTAACTCCCTCCCCTTTGAATATAGGCTTTGCTTAGTGACATACTTTAAAGAGAAGAATGTGGAAAGGGGGAGGAGGGGTGGGAAAGAGAAACCAGGTAAAAATTACCCTGGCCAAATGATCAAGGTTAACATCATCAATACATCATGTCGATAGCACACATCCCTAATATGATGTGATAAGGATGATAGATACTTCATCTCTGTCGGGTTCCTCCCCCAAACCCATAACCTCATTCTAACCATGTTGAATATTCTAGAAGATACCTGCCCAATACTCCCCAAAATGTCAAAGTCATGAAAAAACGGGTGGTAGGAGAAACTGTCAGTAACTAAAGGAGCCCAAAGGGACATGATGACTAAATGTAATGTGGTATCCTGGATGGGACCCTGGAACAGAAAAAAGACATGAAAGAAATCCTAGTGAAATCCAAATAAAGTGTGTTTAGCTAATCACAATGCACCAATATTGGTTTCTTAGTTGTGACAAAGGTACCAAAGTAGAGTTAAATGTTAACAGTAGGGAAGACTGGTGAGGGGTATAGAGAATGCTCTGTACTATCTTTAACTTTTCTGTAAATCTAAAACGATTGTAAAATTTAACATGTAATTTTTTTTTAATAATAGGAGTGATTTTAAGACATTTTATTTATTTATTTATCTATGGCAGCGTTGGGTCTTCGTTGCTGTATGCGTGCTTTCTCTAGTTGCAGTGAGCGGGGGCTACTCTTCGTTGAGGTGCGTGGGCTTCTCATTGCAGTGGCTTCTCTTTGTTGCATGAGCTCTAGGTGCAGGGGCTTCAGTAGTTGTGGCTCACTGGCTCTAGAGAGCAGGCTCATTAGTTGGGGCGCATGGGCTTAGTTGCTCCACGGCATGTGGGATCTTCCTGAACCAGGGCTCGAACCTGTGTCCCCTGCATTGGCAGGCAGATTCTTAACCACCGTGCCACCAGGGAAGCCCCAACATACAATTTAAGAAGAATTTTGTGCATTTGTATCAGATGCGTATAAATATGTCATCTCGTATAATGCTATTCATCAAGCATTTCCAGAGAGCTTATGTTTGTCAAACTCTGAAATAGATCCTGGGAATACAGTGATTCCCTAATTGGGGGATAAATAGTTTAATTGCAGTACACGTGGCAAATGAAGGAAGGAACTATCTCTAGGGCAGAAGAAACAAGAGAAGCGTGTGCTAGGTTACATGCTGTTGATGATGCCCAGCTATGCCAGGGACCCCTGCGTGTGCAGTCATGGGTACAGTTCACTGAAGAGGGAGTCTTCCAAGGGAACTTGACTTGGATTTCAATTAGTAGAGCTTAGATATAGAAGGATTGAGAGAAGGACAGGTGTTTGTTTATTCATCCAATAAACATTCAGTGTGTGTGTGTCATATGTACCAGATCCAGAAGCCAGGGCCAGATTTTGAAGTAAAGTTATATTAATAACTCTCATTAAAATATGAATAGATGGATGCTTTTTAAATCATGAAATATATTAATCATACAAAAATGGTAAAGCCAATAACAAATATGTACCCACCACACAACTTAAGAAAACTATTCCATGGAGTGAGGCTTCTGGGTACCCATCCCTGAACACATTTCCTTCCCTACCCCCTAGGTGGCCACTTCCCCCAGTTTGGTTTTATCATTCTTGTACATGTCTCCTTGAGCACATGTGCAAGGGAATATTTTAATACATATCTAGGAATCAAAATAGTCCTAGAATATGCACGTTTGAGATGTAATCAAACTGCTCTCCAGAGCAAATGTACTGATTTACACTCTCAGCAGGATATGAGAATTCTCTGTTGTTTAATCTATGCCAAAACTGGGAATTGTCAGACTTTGAATTTTTGTCCCTCTGGTGATTATAAAATGGTATGTGTTCAAGAATTTATTGAACACCTGTTACATGCTAGACACTAGGAATAAAATACTGAGGATACTGCAATAAACAAACCGAAGGCTCTGCCTTCATGAAATTTACATTCTAGTGCAGTAGACTATCAATAAAAAATAATCTTACACATATGCACGTTTGCAAAAATATTTGTCCAAGCATGCTCATTGCAGCATTGTTTGTAATAAGAAGAAACTGAAACAACTGCAGTGTCCTTCATTAGAGGATGTGTTAAATAAAGCACAATATCCTATCCACTTAATAGAAACTATGCATGTAAAATGAATGAGGTAGGTCCATGTATAGTGGCATGGAAAATTGTTCAAGATATATTGTAAGTGAAAAGAACAAGTTTCCTAACAATCTGAGAGCATAAATCCTTTGTTAAAGATGAAAATGGGGCTCCCCTGGTGGCACAGTTGTTAAGAATCTGCCTGCCAATGCAGGGGACACGGGTTCGAGCCCTGGTCCAGGAAGATCCCACATTGCCACGGAGCAACTAAGCCTGTGCGCCACGACTACTGAGCCTGTGCTCTGAAGCCCGCAGGTGGGCTTAGAGCCTGGGCTCCGCAACAAGAGAAGCCACGGCAATGAGGAGCCTGCACACCGCAACGAAGACCTAACACAGCCAAAAACTAAATCAATTAAATAAATTTTTTTAAAAAGATGAAAATTACATGTGTATATTGTTGACTGAAAAAAAAAGGCACAACTTGAGAGTTGTGAGTTAAATTTTATTTGGGGCCTAATAAGGACTGTAGTCCGGGACACAGCCTCTCAGATGGCTCTGAGGAACTGATCCCAAGAGGAAGGAGGGAGGTCAGTATCTATGTGATTTTAGTGAAGGGGGATCAAATCAAGCACACATTTTGGCAGAAGGTTGCTGCTTGTCACCAGAAGGTTGCTGTTAGTCATGAGGAACAGATGTCTCTGTTAATGATTTTAGTGCTTTTCTAGGTATGAGAAGATGCAAGAAATTGGGCTCATAAAATCTTCTTCTAAAAATATCTGACTGTCTGAAGGCCTGTTCTGCCAGGTTTTCCCAGAGCACAGAGTGTCTCATTCCTGATCTCTGCCCTGAAATTCTTTCAGAGTGTGTTGAAGATCAGTGACTACTGAGGCTAGTGACCTCATTCTTGTAGAACCAGATGGTGAGTGACAATTTTTAGTTGGCAGTATGCAGACAAAATGTTGGAAGAATATATGACAAATCTTAATTTTAAGAAAGAGCTGTAACAAAACCTAAAAGAATAATGTGAACTGTTGGTGGGGTGTGCACATAGGAGATAAATTGAATACACTGCTGTGTTCACACGCTTTACTATTGCTCTTTCAACACTGTGTCCAAACCGGTTCCCTTCTTTCACCGGCCGTTTTAGAGGCTCCTCTGTGGCTGGATGTAACAAACTGCTATCTAGTTTCCTTTCCTCTGGATGCAGAGGTGCTTTGGGCACTGCAGGTGGTAGCGCAGTGCTGGGCTCACTTCCTAGTGCGGCCCCTGCTTCCTCTCAAACCCCTGTTGTCCGTGTGTTCTGCATCACTCCCTGTGTTTATCTGTTCCCTGATACAAGTGATAATGAGATACTGTGCTTCCCACCATCCCTTAATTTTAGAATGAAAAAATGGGCCTAGAATCTAGCACTTCACTTGACGAATTGAGAATTTGACTATGCAGAGCTGTCAGATAACTGGTAGGTGGCTTGAGGTCACTAGGTCCCAGCTTTAGGACGTTCACTCCCACATGAGTGCTGAGTGAGTTCAGCACTCACCCAGGCTAGGCAGCTAGGCAGTAGCTTTTGAGCTTGAACACCTATGTGTGAACAAATTCTTTAGCACCCGAGTCACACTTCATCCCCTTGGGAGCAGTTCGGGGTCAGCTAGAACCCCAGAAAAGACAGACCCTCACCAGCATGACTGGAGGGCTGGGGGCAGGCTGGCCTACGCAGTGTGCTTAGAAGGTAGCTCCTCACTAGCTGCCATCCTCGGCTTCTCTTATTTCCTCTTTGTCACCAGGTCTCAGCAATTTACAGAACTCTCCCTCCTTTCCTTCCTTCCACCTGTCATCTTTGCTTCTGAATGAGAACCATCTGTGTAACACCAATACTTACCTTAAGAAAGACATGCATTATGTGGTTGTAATCAAACCTGATGCTTTCAGACGAGATCGGGCGCGTTCAGGGTGGTATGGCCGTAGACCAAACCTGATGCTTTCAGATGACCTACTTACATCTTCAATGTGGAAAAGATTAAGAACAAAACAAATTCATCTAAACTTCTGGGCAATCCAGTTGACTTTTAAATGTAAGGATGGAATTCCAAACACAACACATTCAGCTAT